TGTGGTGGTGGTGGTGGCAGTGGTGGAGATGGTGGCGACGATTGTCATCACCGCCATCTTCATGTCACACGTCACACGGTATGATGATGACATGATGACAGTGATGACGATGAGGTTGATTGTGGTTTTGGTGATGTGCCATGGTGATTCTCGTCCTGATGATTACGACATTGATGCGACCCACAGTAGAATGTTCTGAACAATTCGTAGAAGGAGACGCAAACAAGGAACATCGTAACACTTACAACGAATAGGCTTGTAAGCTGAATGAGCCACCCTAGGACCTCTAAACTTACAACACTGGGGGCCTTGACCGCCCATCCTGTGACTGCTGGCAGTGTTGAGATGTCGCAATAATATCAAGATGTGAACTACCTCCAGCCGCCATTCCTGTGTGTGTTGGCATTTTTGAGACCGTCGCCGTGATATCAAATCTCAAAACGATAACAGTTCCGCGAAAATTGGGCCCAATATCCTTGTAACTGTCGGTAGTTTTGAGGGATGCCCTAGTCGAGGCACAAAATCGACGATTGTCACACAGATTTCAACACAATACACCACTGTATTATGCTAAGTACGTATGCAAGACCTGACGAGGCCATACTATACAGAGGTGCCCGCGCACGCACGCGGATACTGATTACACATACACATATACGTATACATATACCTTGTAATGTCATGCAAGAGGGTGTTTCTACTACGTACTTGTTTCGACCTTGTATGTGTTATCTACTAAGAGGCCTATCCAAATCTCTTCATGGGTGTAGGGGCTTATATAACTATATATACACACCTGTATCTGTGTCACTATGTAATGTACAGCCCCGCGTATATGTGTTTCCATCTGTGTGCATATGCACGTATTCAGGTACGCATTCCTGTACGAACCTATGTGCAGTACGGCTGTATGTACGTCTGTATGTAAGAATGCATGTGTATGTGCAGGCGTATGACGATAAACGGATCGGTTTGTTCTTAACGAACTGCTCAGGCCCATGCTGCCAGCGCAAAACAAGCACACTCTCGCGGCGACTCGGGGTCCAAGCAAGCATGTATGCATATATATATATATATATATGTATATAATATATGTATATATATATATATGTGTATATCTATATACGTGAACCATTGTTGTGCTACTGTGGAGACATAGGCGGGCTTAGCGACACAAGTGCCAAAGCTCATTTCCGCAGCCTTCCCGCGGACTCCAAAACGTGACTATTTCTCTCATAGTAATGCTGTTGTCCAATAAGAAGACATAGTAATGGCAGAGTTCACGCGTAACAGCGAAAACATCGACACGATCAGAGGATGATGAGAACCAGCTTTGTCAGCATGACCACCGTGGCCATCATGCCAGGGCCCTGGCCGCCATGGCTTGACCACGCCCCCGCGTTCAAGCAAAATGCTGCTCCGACTTGAAGCAAAACGCCGAGGCCGATCAGTCTGCAGGTTCTCTGGTTTGGGGTTCTGGGCCAGGGGTTGTATGCATAAAAAATCGGGCCTTCGGGAAGGACCTCTGCACTCAAGCAGTCACACTGTAAGCTTGTCGCTTCAACTGTGGACGAGGCTCTTCAATCGGTGCGCTTCGGGCCTCGGCTTTTGCCACTAGAGCCTCGGGCAGCCCCGACAGACGTTGAAGAATTCCTTCCGAATCGGGATACCGACTCAAACCAGGGTGTGGCTTTCCGGGTCGTCCCTCCAGCACGCAGTCCTTTTTCTGTACGGATTGTCGACTGGCTCATCCCGATAGCGATATCTACCACAGGGGCCGAAATTCCTGGAACGATGTTCTTGGACGATTACAATGCCGCTGTTGATTAGCGGATGCTCCGGTGAAAGCCGTCATTTCGGCCCATGTTCCTCCTGCCCTTAACAAAGCCAGTGCGTTGCAGAAGAGGTCGCTTGAGAATGACAGGGCCAGGGCCACGTAGGCTTACCCTGACTTCAGCTCTGAAGTACGGCACAGGACAAGGAGATGCGGCACTGGCACCCTCCGCGAAGAATTCTGGGCAGGCAGATTGCGATCTGCAGTCAAATCCGAGGTTTTCTATCTCCAGGATTCGGGAGCTTTACTCCTCCGGGACTTTCAACATTCAACGGCGCTGTGGTTGAAGTTGGACTCAGACATGGCTCTCCTTCCAGCCGGCACAGCAGTCACACGAACGCTCGTACTCAGAGAAGCCTCGGTGTCAGTTCTGCTCCCGATCCCAGATGAACTAGCGGTGAGACGGTTAAATTTTGTAGAGAGAGGGACGGAGCACAGATCGATGGAAACCACCACATCGGGGACAGTCGGGAATATCAGACGTCAGTAAGTCTTTCTTCACTTGAACATCTGTCTGTGCTCCTTTTCGATGAACGTGAATTCCGCGCTCGAGTCGCGATTTTCTGAGGCCACACGGTGCGGGATGTTGAGCACCCGTGCTCTGGCAAAAGGCCTCAGAGCTCTCCCCACTTCAGCCTCGGAGAAAGCAACGCAAGGACAGTCTCATTAGCCGGATCTCAGCACTACAATGCGTGGGAATGCATGGGTGTGCACTGCAGATCTATGCCTCGACCTGAGATTCGTCAACCGTTAAGGCCGCCACAAGCTCATACTGAAGATAGAATCCGTCTGTGGGAATATCTTGAACACCCGAGGAGCCGATCTGCCTCACTTGTTGACCGCAAGCTGGAACTTGGCCAACAAAGGTATCTGCCTTCCTGCGCATGTTGTTGAGGCTCAGAAGACGGGGAATCGTGTCTCGAGGTCCGTTTCTTGGAGGTCTTGCGCCTTGGTCGGGCCTCGCTCTGGCACCGCCCGCCAGTCTGAAAGACTACGCGGCAGCAAAATCCAAAAACCTCAAGTCTGACCTTGAAGCCGTAAATGTGGCAACACTTCAGCCCACAGGCAAAAGTCCTGGGAAGGCGGCCCGTGTGTCCTGGTCTGACATGGTCGCCAGGTAGCCTTCGACCAGCAGATTTATGCATGCATATTCTAAGGGATCCTCTTGCACAGTCCGATCTGCTAGGGAGGGCAGGCAAGACATGTTGAATTTGCCCCGAGTCTGTCGGTGTGCCAACCCATGCAGATGTCTGTGCAATGTACGCTCTACGGCGTTATCTCTGGACCTGCGAGCTCTACCAGACGTCATTACATACATGCGAACGCAAACGCATGCATACGCACATACCTACCGTCCTACATACATACACATATACCATACATATATACAGACATGCAGACAGACAGCCATACAGACAGACAGGCATGTAGACAGACAGACATACAGACATAAAGACAGAGAGACAGGCAGGCAGGCAGACAGACCGACAGACATGCCTACTTACATGTTTACATGCACACACACACACAAACTACGAAGTCATGCAACATTTGCACAGATTGACATACGTGGTCTGCTTGTTACGACTGTTGGACTGATCTACGCACACTAAACTAGAATGCTGTGCTGTCTAATACTATTGGACAACACAATGGTCACTACTTGTTAAGCGTGGTCTACTACTTTGCAGCAACACACAGGCTGTCGCATCTGCTTTCCCACGATAGTCTTTCTGACCTTGTCTTCGATCATCGCCGCGACGACTGTGTATCCATTTTTCCTTGCCTCCACCGCCGGCGTCGTGTACCTATGCCAATCTTCGTCGATGGAGTCGAACCAGTCGTCGTGTTTCGCGATGGGGTCTGCGCCGGCCTCGAGCAAAATCGAGACGCACTCCGCATGCCCTCGGGCAGCGGCGTGCCACAGAGGAGTGCCCGTCCCAAAGCAACGCACACATCCGATCTCATCCAGGAGATGCGAAAATCCATTCGAGTCTGAGAGGAGCCAACGCAATAAATCGTGAGAGCCATGAGCCGCCGCCGAATGGGCCAAGGCCGTTTCATAGACATCGCCGTGTTTAGATGGTCTCCGAAGTGTAGAATGGTCCCCAAGCTTCGTCCACGTGTCCGGCTCGGTCAAGAGTACGTGATAACCCCCTTTCCAGAAGTCTCGTTTCAGCTCATTGAACTGATCTAACACGTCTCGCGGAATTCTTTCTTGCATCTCTACGAACTCGTCGATGAGTTTTGCTAGGTCTGGATGCTTCGCGTTCCTTGCCATGTCGGCTATGGTGGTCCAGTGACTCGGGAACCCACTTTTCCTGGCACCATATTTCAGCAAAACCTTTGCAGATCGCGTGCTTCCATGCTGGGCGGCCAAGTATAACGGCGTCCCACCATAAACAGAACTTTCGTGAGGATCGAATCTTGCCCCGTGGAGCAACATCCACTCGACCACGAGAGGCAAATCCAACTGCGCAGCAAGATGCTGCGCAGTGTAGCCAGAGGCCTCATTGCTCCAGGATGAGGGGTCTCCGGGATGTGGCAGGTCTTCACTCAAATCAAACCACACGAAAGGGCGACGCTCAGGGCCGACCATGATTCCACTTGGGGTCCAAGTGTCGCAAAAGTCTCTCAACATCTGCCATTCGCGAATGAGTTCGGACTCCTCGACGCCCAAAGCTTTCAACTTCATGTAGCACAAGCTCGCTGGGGGCCATTGCTTTTTCTCTCCCGCCGCCTGCTCAGCCCACTCAGCCCGCTCTCGCGCTCGCCCCTTCTTTCGTGGCTCCGCTTGCTCTTTCGGTTCGTCCCCATCACGAGGCTGGCCCGCATCCTGCTCCGCTGATTCCGATCGAGGCAAGGGAAGCTTGTCGATGTCCTCTTTGCTTACTCCGAACCGCTCCAAATACACCGCCATAGTGCCGCCGTCAACTCTGATTCCGCCTTCCTGGTTTCCAGTGTGCAAGTCGAAGTAGCACCCGCCACCGTCTTTGGCGCCGATGTTCAGGGCCACGTCATTCACGGGACCACTTGCGCCGCCACTATGTTGCAACCGCTTGTCATAGACCTTCAGAAAAACATTAGATAGAGCTTCGTCGTATCCATACGCGACCGATATCGGACCATTGACTTCGTATCGAGGCATTTTGAAGCGCTAGTTTTTGCGCATTTCGAACAAAGTGCTGATTGATTGCAAATACTCTAACGAATGCAACCCCCTGACTTTCTGCAGCCAGAGTTTCTCAAGGCCTAAAGCCTATCGGAACCCTTAAGTCACAAACTCTGAAACCAAGCCTAAACCCCGGCCCAAACTGCAAATCCTTGAGCCGTCATCCAACCAATCTGGGGCACGGGAGGGTCAAGGCACAAGACCCTACGGAAAAACCACATCAAATAGTATGTTGTGAGAACCCCTGAACTTCCGAAACCCTACTAAGCCCTACTATACGCTACACCTGTACATAAGGCACGAGTATCCCTAAGTTTAAAAGACCCTTGGCAGGTGCCTTCGGAGTGCTCCGACAGGGCGGCAACGGGCTCGAGGCCGGTCATAAAAATCCCACTGGGCTGCCAAAGGTCCTGCGATACGAGTACTACTCCGTTGTCATACAGGTGCTAGTAACAGTCACAAGACTTGTGCCAATAAGCGTGATGCTGAGCATGTTCATGATCTTGCCCGTCATAGTGACAGGATCAATGGCAGTGACGACTTCATGGGGTCTTAGTTCGGGGAGCTTCCTTTGGGAAAAAAATCTCGAACATGTCGCCACATCTCGCCACGGCATGAGACTTCACAGTAGGTATGACTTTTGTTGGGGTCTTTCCGGTTTCAGGTACGGAGAGCTGAGAAGCACGAAGAGCAGTTGAGAGCTTAAGGGCTTGTCGATCAGTTGGGGTCTTGGCCTGGAGTTTCTTCTGGCGGAGGACGCTCTCGGCTCGAGGCAGCGGCACCGACACCTGCCAAGTGTCAGCCAGGCAATGCCGCCTCCGCTCTCAGACCATGTCCGCATACCCTGCGTATCTACGATTTGCATTTGTATGTATAGGTGTGTGTCTGTGTGCCCGTACCTATGTACATACCTATATATATATATATATATATATATGTAAACATATCTCTGTGTATGTACGCATGAGTCTGTCATGCATCAGTATGTAAGCACAGCCACTCAAAGCAACAAGAAACGACAAAAAGAGACAGCAACAACCGCTCCACAAGAAAGGCGACGAGGACAAAATCACAGAATGAGAAAAACCGATCCCCAACAAACAGATCGGCCTGCATCTGCCCGCTCTAGCGCACCGGCCGTGTGTGCGAGCATGTGTGTGAGAGATAAATAAATATATATAAATATAAATATAAATATAAATATATATATATATATATATGCATGCCTGGAGGGCTGGATAGATGAGAGCATGCAAGCGCGCACCTGATTTCATTCAGTCCTCACTGTTGGTATAGTTGGTTTGATTTGTCTGGCTCTTTCTCTCTGCCGAAAGATGAGATTCCACTGCTGGCAAGTCTCAGCGCATGTAGGATC